ACTTATGCATCTCCAGCTTGGTGCAACATCTCCACATCACTCCTTAAAAAACTCAAAATATGCCAGAATAAAATCCTCAGGAAAATAACAAAAGCAAGATGGTTTATCCGCAATAAAAACATACATCGCGACCTCAACATAGATTTTTAAGATCATCATATTGCAAAGTTAAATTTCAGATTTTTCGAAAAGACCATAAATTGTGACACCGCAGGATTCAACGAAATTTTTACTTTTGAAAACTTAAGAGAAGACATAAACCTCAGACCGATGGCAGCTCATTTTTGTAGTGACGTAATTTTAACTAAATTACAAAATATTTAATTTCCTTTTATTCCAATTATCAGAAAGAACCACCTTAAAGACCACAATACAAGACGAATGGGAAAAAGGCCGCTAACGGCCCCAGGTGCCCAGATATATTTCGATGATGATGATGATGATAATAGTTAATGATATTCAACCTCTCCAAAAGTGTTTTAGAAAAATACTTATAATTTTGATCTCCAGGAAAAATACAAAGTTCACTTCGAATTTGCTTGGTTTCTTCGTGAACAGCGTACATTTTCGCTTATTCATCATCATCATCACCAACTACTCAACTCATCTAATCTTCAATTTAGAGCAATGGGGATAAAAGAGCATAGCATAAATTCCCCCCCCCCACTCCATAATCAACATAGTTAATGATTAATCCCACAGAGATAAATAAGTTGGAGCCCTAACTTAAATAAAGACATCACATAGGCACAGTTGATGATGGCAATTTTTTGTTATCAGGGGAGTTGGTCTCGAGCATAGAATTATGCCAAATAGTACTGAGCATTGTTAATTTTAATTTTGGGATAACGAACTTTTAAAACATTTTTTACTCAATCTAATAACGTAAATCCATCAGGAAGAGAATGAGATAAAAATAAAAAATGGTACTTTAAGTTAATTGTGTCCGCATATCTCCTTAAATTTTGTGCTTGATTTCGTAATGTTGATCATTACCGATTTAATGATTATTTAGTTTTATTTCAATACCCAAGAAGAACGAGTATTCAGCTTGTAACAATAATAATAAATTAAAAAAGTTGCATAAAGACAAAATAATATTTATTTTCAACGAGAGTTTCTTTAGAATATTAAATTTCTTACCAGGGCATTGTGCCTGAAACAAGAAAAAATGCGAATCAGAAAGAAAGAAAAAAATATATGTTGAAGCTATTTAAAGGTTCATTTTCTAGTATTTTTTAAACATTGATTCATTAAAATTATAATTTCTACCTTAATGTAAGGCAGCTGCTGTTTGTAACTTTTTCAATTACATATAAGGATTTACTAAATTTCTATTTCATAGTTTATTCACGTCAGGTATTTATGACATAAGCTCGGATGAAATGCGGTTTAGTACGCACAGGAACACTTTTTGTTCTAATTTTAGGTGCAACTCAGAATTTGATAAAATATAACATAAATTAGATATTCAATAATATGATTAAATTAATATTTTAAATTAGTGTGTACTAATGCAAAGCTTTTTGTTTTGCAGGAACTTTACAATTTTTACATGTCAAAACAAACATGTGAGTAAATATTTTTGCATTTTTCTATTTTTAAACTTTGTGCGAAATGCTCAAAATAAATTAGTTATTTAAATCAAAATCTCAAAAATATTTCAAGTGAATTTAAAATTAATTCCCCTCTGTAAGTAAAAAATTTCATATTTATCTATTTTGATTTTACTTGCTTTTCTTTAATAAGTTTTAAGTTTAATCATGATTTTAAATAATAAGTTTTAAGGCATGTCTATCCTAACCCCATAACATTGAACTAGTGTGGACGAAAAAAACTTTTTTTGAACAGAAAATTCCTAAAAATGTAAACATCCAAATTAGCTTGTTTCATTCAAAATACAGTCGGACTTCTATTTAACGAACTTCCATTTTGCGAATTTCTCTATTTTGAGAATTTTTTCGAGGAACCAAGAACATTTTGGAAATTTCTTCCATTTAATTATGCATTTTATTGGGGAAAAGACCTAGAATTGGTTTTAAAAGCCACTTAACTTTGAGATAAAGCAGTAAAATACCCTTCCCATTTTGTTTGCATTTCAAACGAAAAACTCACACAAAATTAACGGATTTTAACTATAGCAATTAAACTTAAGAACGCCAGTGTTATGCTTAACGTAATTGTGTAATGTATAACGTAACGTGTAGTGTATTTTTAAAATTACTTTTATTATAAATGCAGCTATAATTTTATACATAAATTTAGCTTTTTTTTTTTAGTTGAAAATGTATTTAGCATGATAGTGTAACACTGAATTATGTTTTGCTCTATTCTTGCTTTCCATGCAGATTTCTTTTATGGTTAAAATTTAAAAAATAAAATATAGATACTAGTTTGGAAGAAAAAGGAGTATTAATTGCTATTTCAATTATGAGTAGTGTTTATGAATTTAAAACCTCTTTTGCGTTGTTTAAGTATTTCAAAAGGTAATTTTCTATTAAACGAATTTTCCATATAACGAACTTATTATTGGGATTTAGCGACTTCGTTAAATGGAGGTCTGACTGTAAAAACAAACGTTCAAGTTTTAATGAAAGAAAAAAATTGTGTCCAATATAATGATTAGTAAGTATTTTCGGAAAATTTATAAAAACTGTTCACACTAGCCTATTCTCTCTTACTTTAGTGAGCTTTTTTACCTCTTTAAATATGAACTATTACGTAATTTGTTATTTTGATGACTTTCATTTTTACTTTCAGCCATGATGAATAAAAGTTTACCCAATGAAGCCCATAAAAAAACTTCAAATTTGGAAATATTTAAACAGGTACTTTTTTTTATATAACATTTACAAATAAATTTAAATTAAACTTGCTTTTAAATAGCATTTTTAACGCTAAATACTATTAAACTAGTTTTAATAGTATTTTTAATTAGTGAGTGAATTTTTTTCAGAATCAGGGTTTATTTTAAACCCGAATTCCTAATTTCAAAATTAAATCTATGTATTTTCATAGGAAAAATCCCTATGTGCTATAACAGAAATGCAAAATGGAATGCAGGCTCCGCTGATATAGTTGATCTTTATGTCAAATTTTAGTAATGTTTTTTCAATATACAACCGTTTTCTATTATTTTCAATATGACGTGTATTTTTCGCAAAATATTCTGAAATAATTTGTACAGTACACGAAAAAAAAATTACAAAGTTTACAAGAATACAATATTTTTAAATATACGACTTTTTCAAAATTCAATTTATCAAGAATTATTCAACGATTACTTTGAAATTTTGTATTCCGTCATACAAAATTATAATCTTTAAAATGGTGTAAAAATAAAATACGTAACAGTTCAAATTTTTTAGGATTAATATTAAATAAAATAATAATAATAAAAAACATTGGAGAATGCGCTTAAACAAGTAATTGATCTTACCTGTTTAGGGTGTAGGGATTTTCAATCAAAATTTAATTTTGTTCTGAAAACTGCGGATTTTTTTCAATACATATTTTTTTATTTAGTTTATTTTTGTCTTTAAATGTTAAGTTTATTAACGAGGTATGGTTTATATACATACATAAACACTTGTTTGCTAATATGATAATAACACTGTAGGCAAAAAATATATAACCTTAACGTGTCAACTTTCACTCTTTCCAAAAAGATTCTTTCTGTTGGTAGGGAAATGTCATTTCCTTTGTAATCATAAGCTGGTGTTTCATAAAACTTTAGGCAGCACACTCTCAGACAGCCAGCAGACCTTCTATATATGTGTTTCAAATATATAAATGTAATGCTAGTCAAAATCAGTTTAAATCACATTTATCCAAATAAGAATAAAGTGTGAATGTATAAATTTTGCACTTAACACTCAGCTACCTCATCTTTTTAAAAATTCAAGATGGATGGAATAAAGGCCACTATGCGGCCTCAAGTTCTCATTTCTAAAACTAGCCTAAGCAAAAGCAAGCCTTAACATGTCGCATCATAATTTAAATCGCCTCCTTCCTACCACTCCCTAAGCAGCAGAGAAGTGGGGACCCTTAGTTTTAAAAGTTAAAGTGTATTTTTAAAAAGTCCTGTTCAGGATTATATTATCAAATTGCTTTAAAACTGTAGCTTGTACTGAAAAAGCGGTTGCAGATTTTAAATTAGCGACTCATAAATACCCGAAGTCTGTTCAAAAATCTAATGCAACATAAGAAAAAAAAACGTTTTCTAGTGTGATTATTAAATATTAGTTCCGCTGTTATTTTTTGTATGGAATTGTCTTTGTATAAACAAATTATATGATGCGAGGTGTTCTCTAGGTATACTAAATGCATAAAAATTAAAATTACTATTAAAGGATCCAAACTTTCAACCTTTCTTTGCGAGTCATATATGCATTCTCAGGGTGTCGATAATCAGGGTTAAAAAATATAAAACTAGTAGCCAAACTATTTTTATAGCAGTTTATTTATGGGCGAGGTAACATTAGTTTGCTTTAATTCACCACTACTTATGTCAAATTAAAAACTATATAGTTACGCTTTTAACACACTTGGATTGGATGTGTTATATTCAAAGTGAAAGCAAAAATAAGTCACACTTTTTATTTTCTACTATCCTGATTCTGAACGAATACATTTATGACTCGCCCGTCCCGAAAAGGTTAATAAAGATTTAAATTTTATAAGTCACCACCCCTTGCACTTTTAGTCTGCCGTGGCAACCTTGTACTTTTTGTTGGCTGGACATTCATTTAAGAAAATGAACGAAAAATTTAATTCTGTTTTTTTTTAATTATTATAACATTAGAAAAAGAGAAAAAAACTATTTTTATGAATTTTTCACCAAAAAAAATGAAGCTTGATTTGTCATCTATTACATATAGGGAATTGATAATTAAGTTTTGGCATAAAAATGATGCGAAAAAATTGGTTCTCCCCGTCAGTTAATAAACAGTGAATATGGGCTATACTGAGAAAAAACCCTTTTGCACGCGCAAAATCGTTTTTTTTTCCCAGTGGACAAAAAACCGTCCTCCATTCTTCGGTTGTATTTTTAAAGAATTATTGAATGGTGCTCATTCATAGAATTTTTTGTTTAAAGAGAATTTTCATTTTAATTTAATACTCAATTTTTTTAAGAGTAACGATTGACGAATCAGTAGCGATTCAACCACTACAAGTACTCAATTTTAATACTCGAGTACATAAGATATGTTTACACAATTCTAACTGGGTGTAACTTTTCATAGATGACGTTTGACATTGTCGAATTTAACTCTCCCCACATTGGTGACCCGGACGTGATGTGAACACGCCTACCTTGGAAGTAACGCCCTCTTCGATAGGAAGATGCCTACCTAGACTGTAACGCCTACTTCGATGGATGATCCACATTGAACAGTTGACCCGCTACTTGTGACTGAGACATTATCCACCTCCTCGCACTGTTGCTATTCAGTCTCGTCTCGATCACGCACAACGTCGGCTTACANTCATCAGAGCACGAATATCTCGACAGACATGCCCACTTAGAATTGAACACGCTTACTTCAATAGATGGTCCATATTGTTTAAATGACATGATATTTGTGACTGCGACATAGCCTTCGTTACGCTGTTTCTATTCAGTTCATCACACACAACGTCGGCCGTAAACAAAAAATGAAACAATCTCCTGCAAATCACAAACAAGAGCGACCACGACAGTGAACATAATACAGCTCTCACGTTCATAATCTTAATACACATCTCCCAACTTCTCACAAAACTGCAATAAATCAACTAGTGGTAACCGTTCATCACATTCTATCACAGATATAAAATAGTAGCTGAGGAGCACTGTAACGTTTCTACCATTACAATTATAAAATTCCAATTTACAATTAGATTAGTAATTTTAATTGATTTCTATGAGAGAGCACTTTTTTATAGATAAAGGTTGACATTGTGGATAACAGCAAGCTTAAAATATGTTTAAAATGTATATTCATCGCTTAGCAGTAAAGGGTCTTAATTTGAGCTCCACCTTTACTTTAAAACGCACATTTCAAGCTTTGTCCATCTTCTTCTGATACGCACACTTTGTACTAGATCCAAAATAAGAACGTTCACCATTAAGTCTTCACAAAATAATTCTTTCCTTTCCCCTTAGATATGGGTGTACGCATTAGCTATTGTCTTAGTGTTTTGGGTGTCACTTTCTGTCTTGCCAGCTATAGTAGTGTTGGTGGTGTCTACCTCAACAGAAAATACTATCTGGACAGGTATGTAAAATACATTAATAACTATTATAAGATATTATATTAACCCTTTAACGGGCCCTTTATTTCTAGTAAAGGTAAATTAAAGTATTTTTGGAAATGAAATTGTTTTAAGAACAGTAATTGATATAAAAATAAAACTCATTTAGTTTATAAAAATGCCATTTTTTTGTGGTAAATATATTTAACATGACCTATTAGGGAATTACTTACTTTTATTTTTCTTTATTTATAAAATAAATTCCTTAAATGTTACAAACTTCAAAAGGATTTATATATTTTATATCTTTTATACGTTTTTTTAAAAGTGACAAATGGTTACCAATTTTATTCAAATTCACTTCAAGAAAGCTGAAGTTACTGAAAAATGGAAACCTAAATTAAAAGTGGTAAAACGTGGTGGTAAGTATACTTACCACGGCCTTCAAAAGGGTTAACATACTTTCCCACAAGTTTCGAATTAATCGAGCAATTTTATTTTAATATTTAGAGCAGTAGGAAATTTTATGATTAAACATGTTATTATTGATTTCATGAATTGAATTTAGAATGACTTTTTCCACCCTTACAAACGAACAACCTTAACATATATATAAAACCTATTGTGCAGAAAAGTGTGGGGAAAATGAACTAAGTTGAACTTGAACAGTCATTTGGCTACCGCTTTAAATATTCACTGAAGCTAGGATTTTCAGGTAGGCAGCGAAGTATAAATATGAGGCTCTTATCGCTTCTCTGACTAACCCAAACAATTGCTAGAGCTGCTTTCTTGTTTCGTATGCAATAATTGCATAAAATTTCGTAAATCCAGCTTAAATATATATGGAAATATATACACAACGCAAAATGAAAAAGGAACCACCCTGAATCACTTTTGACCTAATGATTGGATCCTCACTGAACGTGAGGATCCAATCATTAGGTCAAAAGTTAGGTCAGTACTTAATCTTAATGGTTCGAGGGAGCAATCTCAAATATGTTATTTAACACGTTCACGCCGGGAAAAGTGAAAATACTGGCAGAAGAACTATTTCAATATTAGATAATATTCGGGAGGATTTAATCTATTCTCAACAATAACAATTCACAGTAAGGAAATATGTCACGGCGAAGAAGCAATTCAATATAAAAATTGCATCCGTTAAAAACAATTGGTAGTTATGGATTTTTATTATTCCCGGAAAAAAACTAAAAAATGAAATTTATTGTTACCAGTTTTTACTCCGGTGCGCTGCCAAAATTAGACAATCTAGCGTGACCCACCGGTGGGTCACCCCGGCTTGAACGTGTTAATAAGTGCAGAGATATTTTATGTAACGAAATCAAACACAAAAACGCACTTTCGTTGAATAAACCAATATTTTTTTACGACGAATTCGATTTCTAAAACCACCAGCAAATATGGCCCCAATAGTGTGGTCGGGAGAGAGGTTCAAAATTTAGACCCCTTAATGCAAATTTTACTTTTTGCGTAATTCGCAACATCTCGAACTTTTTTAGCGAATTGAAAATTTTTTGCACACAATTATAAAGTACGTTTATCCAAAGGTAATTCCATGCAAAAAATAATCTTTAGTAACTATTTAATACTTATTATTATTAGATTCAAAGATGTTCTAAAGTATTTTGAATCGTACGGTATACAACTTTTTACATCTTTTTAAAGAAAGTAAATTTACGTGTCAAAATACAAAATTTGAGTGAAATCGGGTGAATAGTTGCTGAGAAATTGAATTTTAAGAAAGTCAGACACTTAAAATTCAATTTTTCAGGAACTATGCAAAATATTTCACTCAAATTTTGTACTTTGCAATGTAAATTGACTTTCTTTAAAATGATGTTAAAGATTGTATACCTTACAATTCAAAATATTTTCGAACATTATTAAATAAAATAATAAAAAATAGTCAATAGTTACTAAAAGTTATTTTTTGTATGACATAATCTTCGGATAAACGATCCCCTCGAACCATTAAAACTGAGTCCTAGAACGTGAAGATCCGATCATTAGATCAAAAATTAATTAGAGTGGTCTGCTTCTATTTATTTATTTTGCGCACAGTACCTTCAAGTTCTTTGATGTTACCAGTGCAATCGGCTGGAACGCATGAAGAGTCACAATACCGAAGAAATTTGTCCTAACTGCAATATTTCTGAGCACCATCTAAAGCAGTAGTCGCCAACACTAAAAAGCTTCTGAGCTACCATTTCGTTTTTAAATCCTACTGTGAACTTCAAATCAAAAGAAATATCAACTATTTTTTACAAAAACGAGAAAACAATCTTATATTAATATCTTATATGAATAACAATCTTATATGAATAACAATCTTATATTTGGTTTGTTAGTTCAGTGAATGAATTAACCTTTTCGAGACGGGTGAGTCATAAATATATTCGTATGGAATCAGAAATAGGATGGAAGAAAATAAAAAGCGGTAGATTAATTTGAAAACCTTATTTTTGCTTTCACTTTAAATCTAATAGGTAGATCCAATCTATGTTTCTTAAAAGCGTAGCTGTACAATTTTTAATTTAAACTAAGTCTTGGTGAGTAAAATAAAGAAAACTATTATTACCCCGGCCCATAAATAAACTGCTATAAAAATAATTTGGCTACCAGTTTTATCTTTTCAACCGTGATTGTCACCCGCCCTGAAAATGCATATATGACTCGCCCGTCTCTAAGAGGTTTCAGTAAGCCTACTAGCACAACAATGTGAGCTACAGAAATTGTCCCTGCAAGCTACTAGAAGCTCGAGATCAACAATTTAACGATCACTAATCAAAAAGGAACGCAAGAAGAGAAGTTCCTAGCTTCGTCAAGTGCTGTGAAGCCTATAAGAGATTTGGTTAGATGAACGTAAGCCATTGTACTTGTTCCGTTTTTCAATGTGTGACTCAGATTATCTAGTTTCATCTCTTATTTTTTCATTGGTTATGTATTTCGATGCATTTATCGATTTTATGCTTTTGAGATATAGTTGCAGTCGCCCATGCTAGTGAGGCATAAATAACGATTGGGCCCATGCCCATGATGTAAAATAGATCTTTGTTAGAAAGATTTAGTCTTGACTGGTGGCAATGGAATCGGTTGGTTTTTATGACCGATATGCACCTAGTGCTTTTTGAAAAGTAGTCTTGATAAGTACTTTTGATATATTGGAAAGATCTACGTTTAATGTATTCTTCTCAGAAATGTAATTTCATTATACTAATAATAATTGGTTAGTAAAATATATGATGACACTTCTATTAATATTTGGATCTAACGTCAAGGGATAATAGTACTAAAATTGTCTTACATTTGACCAGGGAAATAGATCTTTCCCAATTGCAGGAAATGTAACATCGCTCAATTCACCCCTAAACATTTTCATGTGTAGTCATCGCGATCACTAATACTAGTGCAATTGAAAAAAAAGTTTATTTTTGAAAAATAATTTTTACGTTCATTATTACCATGTTTTGATTTTTTTCTTACTAAAATGCCTACTTTCAATTATACATCGTAAAAAAATATGGACCAAATTAAGATTAAAAAAAAAAATAGATAAAACACCTGCAATCAGGGTGCCAATGTATTTTTTTTACATAAATTCCATTTTTGTTTTAAAATTATACGGTAAAAAAAAAATATTATCTACTGTACTTTCTACAATATTTGCTATAAAATCACTATCATTAAGTAAATATTACTGCAAAAATGACGGTATAAAATTTTACTGCAAAAATGGATATTACGGAGGCTGCATTTTGAGAGCTAGTATTTTTTATTGTAATTTGCTCAGAAATTTTTTGCAGTAAGAATGTTTTAATGTGTAAATGTAGAGCGGTAAAAATCACTATCAAGTTCAATCCATATTTTTTAAAGTTTTAAATATGTCAGCAACTCCTTAGCGCCCAGCATAATAATTTCTTAAATATATAACTTATATATCAAAGAAATTATTTAAATTATTCCCATAGTAAGTATTGCAAAATATTTAATAAATATTTTTTTTACAAGCGTAAAGTTAAAATAAGGGTATTTTAGGGTCTTGCGTAAGCATTTCTCATACCACTCCACCCCGCCTTGTAAAAAATAAGCAAATTACTATCCATTCATCCTTTAGGTGCCCGTAACATTTGAAAAACTACAAATTAAATATCTTGCTAGATTTTATACAGACAATGCATGAGTTTAATGTCCTTATATAGATGTATTTCATCGAAGCCGTAAGAAATTGTTTATGACAAGTTGTCGCTACTAGTTGTGAATGTGACGAATTGTCACGACGAATCGTGCCTTCGAAGAGTTGTCTCTGCAACGAGTTATGCGCACGGTGAACTGCGACGAGTTATGCTCAAGACGAATTGTGCTCGGATAATTGGCACAGAACCTTTGAAACTGGAATCTTTTGTTTCTGGCAAAGTTTTTTCTTTTCTTTTTTTAAATTATGTAAAAAGTAGTGCCAAATATTCTTTTTCTTCTTCAAAATATGTTCATTAAAAAATTAGTTCAAATGAAAAAAGTTCAGAATGAAGATAAAACAAAGGAAAATTATAAGAAAAAAAAGGGGGGAAGAAAAATAATAATAATAAAAAAAATAACTAACAACTGGGGGAAAAAAAGAGATGAGGGGTTAAGGTAAAAAAGAGATTTTTGCGGATATAATCGTGTGGGCTGATGAAAAGATTATATCTTTTATTTTGCGGATTTTTTAAAAAAATTTCATCGTTTTTTTTTTATTATTTTTCCTTCCTCTCTCCCCCCCCCTTTTTTTTTATATGTCTGTAATTTTCTTTTATTTTATCTTCATTTTGAACTTATCTAATGAGTTCTGTTTACTTGCAGCTTATGCGCAATAAATGAAACCTATTGTTTTTCGTAATTTTCTTCGTGTTGTTTTTTTTTTGTATTTATTTACTTTGTTAAATTTAAAGATTGTGTTTAAGATTATTTTGCTTTCCTTTCCATTTTAGAATTTAGAAGACTAAATTAAAAGCACTTCCTAAACCCCTTGGTGACAATAAACCCTAACGATATTATTAAACAATAATGAAAATAAAAAAAAATGCTATCATTAAAAGTCTTTTTAAAAAACATTTAATTTTTTCAGGTCGATTGTTTTTACCTGTTGCCTGCTTTTTATTATTCAATGCAGGAGACTTAGTCAGTCGAATGGTAGCGATCAGGATACCAATAGTAAGTATAATAATTATTATAATTGTAAAAGCTCAATCAATTATAAAATATGTTCTCTGAGTGTAAATTAATTTATCAGCGTACCAAACAATGATCCAGATTTTTAAAAAAAAATCATCAATCGTTAAAAAGCTTAACGTTTTCCAGGTTGAATATAATGGATTTTTGTAACATTTGGAATAAATGCTTTATGAGTGTATTTAAATATTTTTTTATGACGTTCTTAACCCCTTAACGATCGGTTAATTTTCAAAAAAACGGTCATGAAAGTGCCTATTTTTTTTCTGATATCCAAACATCTTGTGCTGACATCTAGTTTAAAATAAACTAACTATCTACAATTACATTACAAATATCCTGGTACTGCCATCTGGTGCGTAAAATGAGAAATAAAATGTTTTCCAGGCAAAAGAAATGAATTATTTTTATTCTTATTGGCCCGTTACTACTGAGCACTCCAGCCCGGAAATATGACGGGAGCGAGAAATAGAGGGCGAAACCTCACCCCGTTATTTTCACAGGAGCGAGAAGGAAGGGTTTTTTCTTCAGAAAGTTATAAAAGGGACATTAGTTTTTAAATAAATTTAGTGTTAATTTAGATTATAAAAAATAACACATTTTAATTTCCTTTAAAAATTAGAGTGAGTTGTTATTTCTAACTGCTAATTTAAAGGACCGGGTTTAGATCCACAGAGGTGGCTAGGGATTTAAACTTCACATCAATCATTATGAGTAGCAGTTTGTCTGACCAGTAAAAGTGGGCTGCCGTTATTTACAAAATTGTGGAGTCTTTAGCCACTTTGTCTCTCCTGGCAACATAAAATGCCCTTCAAGAACTTAAAGGTTGGCAGAATACATACTTGATGTAACTCCACTAAAGGCTTTTCAACCGTATAACTTTCAAACGATTAAAGCTTTAGACACAAAAGTGCTGCCTAGGTAAAGTAAAGCGGCTAAGCGCATCAATTTGTATTCCGTAATCTTAATTGAAGAAACAAAAAAATTAAAACAATATTAGTCTAATGGTTTCCAGGTTGTTTTCCTGCTAATCATTCTCAATGTTTATTTGAGTTCCTTTTCATTTTTATTTCAATAAAGAACCATTAATCAGCTTAATTATTAATTTTTTTGCTTATGGAGTCTGCTTACACTAAAAACCAAATTAGAACTAATTTAGTTCTGTTCCAGACTCGGAAATTCAAAGGTCTGAAAAAAAACTGATTTCAAAAAAATGAAAAATTTGCCTTCTTCACACTAAATATTTTCAAAAGAATTAGAAGTGTTTTATAGTTTAATATATTTACACAATTGCTCATAAACTTTATGTAAAAAGTTTGGATTCCAGCAACAACAACAAAAAAAGCCATTCAGAATTCCACAGCCAAAGAAAAAAAATATTGTACCACTGTTGTAGCACATTAGCCACTGATCTTAGACACTACTTTCAAATTTATAGAGCAACCATTCAGCAGTTACATATATATACAGTGAAACCTCTTAGGAGCGACCACTCTTTGTTCTACAGTAAAATGGTCATTTTTAGGGGTTACCTCCATTGACTTCAAAATGTTATCGAAGGTACAATATTTTTTGCACACAATTTTAATTTTACTCAGTGGCCTCATTTTCTTGGTGCGGAAAAGAACTTGTGTTGCCGTCATGAAAACCAGATCCACGAATAAAATTTAGCGGTGTAACGGATAGGTAATTCGTAGCACCAGATGGCACTACCTTTTATCCGCAAAAACAATAGTCTTCATTCTGACTTACCAAGTGAGATGACGTAAGATGAGCTACTGGAACCGTTCTTGGTTCCCTTCTGTCCCAATCAGTTTGGGTAAAACTTTAAATTACTTTTTATATTATGTTGTTACTCTTTATTGTTAAATGGATGTGTGAATGTGTAATTAAAAATACTGAGTTCTTTGTGATGGTGTTTCCTTCCATCCTCGTGTCCTCACAGCGGCAATAAAAATGACCCTTACTGATATAATTATGTGCAAAAACAAATTTACCAATTATGATTGATAGAACTACTTTAAATAAATGAACAATTGTTTTTTTGTTGTTTAAGTTTGCATTTAAATTGTATAGCATAAAAATTAGTCTTCTTTAAAAAAAAAATGAGAAAAGGTTTATTTCTTTGTGATGCTTAGTTATTTCCAAAAGTTAACTTTTCTTTATCTACTTTAATATTTGAACTTTAAAAATAAATAATTCATAGCATCCTCTTTAATGCACCCTGACTGCAACATGATATTTTTCTATCTCTTTTAGAGATCATCAACAAAAAAAAAGCTCTCTAAATAAGAGCAAGTCACAAATATTTTGAACATAGTTGAATCGACTTATTTGTTTTGATATTTTATCATGTTTCCTTATTTGACCTTTTCGGACTTTTGCCCGGTCACTGGAGGTTTTGATGGTCTCTCCTAAAGGTTTTCTTCATACCAAAGTCTATGGAAAAAATTCCGTGCCTCCCAAAAGTGGTCATAAATCGAGGTCGCTACACAGAGCTGGTCTTTCCTGGAAGTTTCACTGCAAACACATATGAAAATGCACAAATTATATTTAATGAGGCGCGATGGCTCAGGGGATAGAGCGTTCGCCTGCCAATGAGGAGAACCGTGTTCGAATCCCAGTCGTTACGAATTTCAAATCCGGCTTGCATCGACCACAGAGCTGATGTGAAATATCCTCAGTGGTAGACGGATCATGGGTTAGAGTCCCCTTGCCGTCAGGCTAACCGTGGGAGGTGCTCTCAATGTAACGCAAATGTGAGTTAGCTCCTTCAAAAAGTCTTCCATGAAGGCAAATTTCTCCCAATACTTAATCCAGGATCTTCCAGATCGAGTATTGGGAGATCTTCTGGATTGGGTTCAAAATTACTAGGCTACGGAGTTGAAAACTAGTAGTCGTAAGCCCATAAAATTGGATCGGCTGTTCAACGACGGTTATAAAATAAAACTATATTTAATTATATGATGCAACCTGAAATGTTGTCTATTCATTTAGCCCTCTAGGTACAAGTACATCACACTTGCCCTGACAGTAATGCGTGTTGTGTTTGTTCCACTACTTATGCTGTGCAATGCACATCCAAGGCATCATTTACCAATTGTATTTGACAGTGATGTAGACTTCATCATCATCATTCTATTCTTTGCTCTCACTGGCGGCTACTGTTGTACCATCATTTTAACACAAGGGCCAAAGTAATTATGCTTCTTTATTATTATTATAACACACACGCATATGTATACCCTAATAACAAAAAACTTTCACCCGTTATAGCACAGCCACAAAAAGTGCTTTATATATAAATAACAGCTACATATATTATTGAAATTCACATTATTTATCAGGTGGATATTTCTTTCTGTTACCTACAAATTTCACTTAATTTCTGAGAAAAAAATAAAATTTTTGTCACAACGCTTTTTTTTTTTCCATAAAGAACAGCCCTTTAAAAGAAGAGTTGGCACAAATGCGCAAATAAAAAAAAGTACTCTTAAAGGTTCTCATATTGAAAAAAAAATCCACAATAGTGTCAGAAATACAGTAGGAATAACAGCACCAACATAGAGGATAGGAAGAGTGTACCATAAATTGCATATAATAATTTAACAAGTTCACAAAAGAGCATTTCAAGTTGTGCTAAAAATAAATGCACACAGAACTGTAAAATGAGCAGAAGTACAATTTGCTCTTAATGAAGATACTTATTAGCTGTTTATTGTGAGCACTGTCTAGAATGAATGATTTCAATTAAATGGCGTTTAATACTTTACAAAGAGCAGTTATTAATAATCTGGCACAACCAGGGCTAGCAATCATTATTTACTTTACTTATTAAGGCTCTTCAAGCTGCATAAGGATTGATGCATAGGACATCCAGCCAGCTTTCCCATGTCTCCTGGTCTTTGGCTTCCTCTAAATCTTTTAAATTTGCTGTTTTAAAATTCACCCACCAAGTAGTTAACCAAATTCATAATTGGCACCAAATGATGATACAGAAATTTGATAAAATAATTATTTTTTTATTGAGTAAAATTGTCTTCAACTGTAAATAGAGCTGGATAAGAATATTTAATAAAAAAACTGTATTTTACAAATGACTTAACAAATGCATAAAGGCAATATATACACAAAGATTTTTAACAATAAAGTAATGCTACCTTTGCAAAATAAATAGCGATTTTCTAAACTGGTGATTTATTACAGCACATTAGAAAATTTGTGTCAATAGTTCTCCGACTTCAAAAATGTTCAAGTTACTCAGTAACTTTATCTTCAGAGGCAACAAAATACAAGATTTGGCTTTTAGCTCTGACAGTATTTAAAGAAAGCTGCAAACAAAATAAAATGTAAGAATAAAAAAAAATATTTAAAACAGTCTTAAAACAAATATTTTTACAATGTACAAAAAAGGTTCAATCATCAAAAATTATTTTTATAACGTAATATTATAATATAAAATAATATCGGTGATAATCATTTGATATGCGTGATAAATATCATTAAAATATTCAGAGAGGTTTGGAGCCTGATTATAGCTTTTAACTAGAAAACTACTAACTCAAATATGTTAAAATATTACATAAAAATGAGGAACGATTCAGGATAAGATAGTGAAAATTTGATAATACAGTGAAACCTTAGAACAACAGGTCCCAGAGGGGCTGAGCTTTCGTGTTTGGTGATATTCGGAATTATCAATCAAGTGAATATTTAAAAAATCTCCAACAGCAGATTTAACTCACTAAAATACTGATCAAATAATGATCACTTTTTCTTTTAAATGTCATGAATTTGCATTTCTCTATAGTAGATTCATATAGTCTCCTTTTTTACAATTTTCAATAGGCTCCAATTTAAGGAATTGCTAGTATTTCAAGCATTACTTTAAAAAAATTCTGTATTGTATCTCTCTACCAATTACTAGAACTTAAAGAAGGTAAAAATTAAATGGATTCATAAATGATGGTCAATGCATGTGTAAGTTATTTCTTTCATGCATGTGCCAGTATTTTCTCCGAATTGCACAAATTAAAGAATGATTGATGAAGAATCAGAAATTGCCACCCATTGTGAATGCTGAAACAAGATTTACGTAATTGACACAGACCGCCATTAAAGATACAGGGTATCTGTAGTAAGCAGAATTGAACAGTATCCATAGTTGACTTCAATAGCAATGCTTAAAAATTATTTATTTGCATAGGCTGGATTTATTGAGGGCAAATATTTTAGTGAATATCAACAGAAACTATTGCAAGTGAAGCAGGAAAAAATGAAAAAAGTTGACTAATATACAATCTGAAACAAAATTCATGATATCAATGGGTGACCCTTGTTTGGAAATCACTGTTCAGAGGTTTACCATAACTCTCTCAATGTAATGGGATAAAATCTGCCATTTATTTTTGACAATAACATTTACCACTAAAATAGTAATAGTTTTTATCTCTTAAGCAAGGTGGTTTGTAATCAACAACTTTTTATTTTAAAAAATCTAAAGATAAAGCATATCGCTTAATGGCAGATACGCATACAACAAGTAGAAATTGTTTGGCTTTCACAACTAAATTTTTTCTATTAGAATTTGCTGCCAGGAAAGACTTTTATGTAAATCCTATGGAAGATAATTGGTTCCGAAAAAATTCGGCAGCTTTCCAGAGGATGCAGTGAGAGAGGTGTTTTAAGTTTGACTGTAGTTACAGAATGTAAAGGGGGGGGGGGAAACGATTAGGAGCATCATTTAAAGTTAGGTATTAATTGAAAAAAAGAGAAAAATTTTTGCAATTTCTAACATATTTTTCGCTATTTAAAATCTCTAGACACAAATTAAAAAAATTTCTTATTTAAGAAAGTTTTTCCTCCTTTTTAAATCTAAGAAACCTATTTTACTATTAATAGAATTTTTTTTTAAAAAATTTAAAGTATCAGATTAGTTAATTACCAATCACCCCATGTCACAATTTATAATAATTTCAAAACGTACAAGTAATTTCCTTTCTAACATTTTGTTTCTAAATAGATTACAACTTATCAATTTGTGAAACATAATTTAAGCATAAATTTCATTTGAATGTTATCAATTTTTTATAATAGACAAGTGAAAGAAGAAGACCAGGAAATAGCAGGATCCCAAATGGCCTTTTTCCTTGGACTCGGACTTATGCTTGGCTCTGTTTCATCTTACGGTCTAGTTCTCCTATTATAATTCATAAGAGGCTTTCAGACATTGATATCACTTGTGAATAGTGGTTTTTTACTTAAAAGATTGTTGATGATTGTAAAAGATATTTAGAGAGATTTATCTGCACACACAAACAGTTGGATGAAAAAAGAAAAATGAAATGAGAACTTAATAAGGCATGAATAATTATTATAAGACAAACTTAAATCACTTCAGTTAGTCGGAATTTCAAACATTACAGCTTTTAATCAGTAAATGACAGAAATAGGCAAATTTGGAACACTGATTTTAATATTTAAAGTATAAAATAAAATTGGCAATGACAAATTATTTTTTTTTTAAAAAAAGAGAAAAAATCTCAATTTGAATACAGAATTTGAAATAATTTCCTGCATAGCAGTTTAAATATAGCACAATAGAAAAATAAAACATAAAGGATCGTAAAATAAGTATATGCTTCAATTGTAATGCAAAGTCACCTATCCAAAATCATTAGAACTTCAGTAATTCTAAAAAAAAAAGATTTTTTTCAGATAGTAAATTTAGGGTAAACAATGAACAAAACGTGTCATTCATTAAATAAAATAAGAAACAATAATTAACATCAATTTTCATACAATAGCTTTGTGCTATTGATTAAATGAAATTCAATTATTCAATGAATATTTAATATAAAATTAATGTTAATGATAAAATATAAGTAAAATCGGAAGAAGTTGCAGAAGTTGAACTTTCAACTGCATAATCCAATTTAAGTCAAAACATAGACTATCTGCAGGTCTTTCTTTTAAGCATTATTAATGTTCATCTTCATCAATATTCAATAGTTTGTTTCGCCAAAGTTTTTTTTCTTCTTCTTCTTCTTTTTTTTTTTTACTGTGGCTCTTTCAACAACTATTTAATTCAATTTATAAAAGCAGTAAATGTGTTAAGCTATTCTACATCTAACAAGAGAAAATGAAAAAAGTAAAACTTCTTTCCTCATACATAAGATTTTTCAACAAATCAGGAATAAAAAAAAGGTTTATTTTGATTGTCCAAAAGTGTATATAAAATAGACGTTTTTGAAAATGGATGTTCGAATATTGGACTCTACTGTATTTTCAATAAAATAAAATTAGAACAATTTTAAAATTATTTTTTTGCTGTCAAAAAAACTAAGATAACCCAGTCTTTCGGATGGCATGAAGAGATATATCAAGCATTAACTGTATTTATATGTTATTTTAAGTCATTAATATGTATCCAACTTTATACTACTGCTACTACAATGTACATTTAACTTATCTAGAAAAAAAGTTGTATATTTCATGTTTTTAAACTAAAAACAATAAGTGTATTTTAAGATGTTGTAAATAAAATTGTAAAAATATGTTGTACATAGTTTTTATGATGATATTATAGCAATAATTCAAATTTTTACAACTAATAGTCCATTCTTCAAAACAATCCATTAAAAAGAAATATCGATTCAAGTTTAATTGACTTGTTAGTTGCTGACTTTATACCTTAGTACTTAGATACTATGCAAATAGATTTATTGTCAGGTTATTTATGTTATTAGATTCATAATTATTGCTACAAATAAATGATGCTGATTTGTATCCATTATTAATAAACATTGCTAAAAATGCTAATTTCAAGACTCTTGAGGTAATTTGGGTAAGATTATTAAAAAATATGCTTTGACTCTCAGAAGTCTCAAGAGTTATGACAGACTTCAAACTTACAATAAATAATTACCAGGATGCGTAGCCAAATCTTTCAACAAAAAATAAGCACCTTTTAAGTACTTTTTAAGCACTCAAAAAATAATTTTAAGCATTATATACATTTACAAAATGCAAAATAATTTTAAAAGACTTTACATGATCATAATTAAATAACTAGTTTCTGACAAAGACTCTTTTCTTGATTATATTAGCCATGAGAAAATGATCAAGATTTTTTGGTTCAACATCAGAGGGTGGAACATGAAGCCTTTCAAAATGCAACAGAGTTGCACATGAGAGTGCAATAATCTCACCGAACCCAGCTCAGTAGACGCACATGCGGACTTGCAAGTATTTCATCAAATGATCAAATGAAAAAAGCACCTTTAAGGACTTTAAAATAACGAACAACGAAAATAAGCACCATTAAGCACTTCTTAAAAAAGCTACGCACCATGATTACGTTTACAAGGAAGCCAACTTTCTACATTTTTAAGAAAATTTCCTTTAATGGTAGTTAAGTTTATGTATTATTATTTGTTTGTAATTTTAAACTGAAGTTATTTTTCCCACTACTAGTTAATAATTCAAAGATTTATATAAAACACCACTTTGTTCTAGCTCTTTCATGGTGAAGCTTTTAAAATGTTGATAAAATTTCTAAAATTCTTAAAGCTTTAGTTTTTATTTGTTAAGAACTTTAAAAAATATTCTGCAAAAAATCATAGTAGTTGGCAGCCCAAAACTATTTTCCAATTCATTAAAGACAATCATAGGAATCCATTTTAACTAAACTATAACAGAGTAAAAAGATATTTTAAGAATTATTGCTCACAAATAAATCAAAATGGTCATTCTTCATATTATTAATTGAAACAAACAGCTGCCTAGTCTAAAGCTTAAGATTACAATCAAAAAATTTTAAAACCTAAAAAAAAAATTTTTTAATTTAAATATACTATCTTTATAATATTTAATAATTTAAAACTTGTTTAAATAGGTTTTTTATAGTCAGATCTTTTATAAAACATTATTTCCATAAAACTTTTATCACAACTAAGATCTTGAAATATCTAAATGACTATTTATATATCTGTTTAAATTATTTATATGAAGTGTTGAACAAAATCCTTTTATTTCTTATTTACAAAAATATTTATACATTAGATTTGCTACCAATAGAAAAGTATTTTCGGAATATCCCACTTTTGCAAATATTTAGCAATGAAAGAAAAAAAACTAATTATTAAAAGTAATGAAACTCACCAATTATTGTATTGTAGTTTTTTTCTTTACAAATAAAATACTGTAACAGTTCCCAAGAGTAAAAAAAAAAAATTACTTATTTTTTTGAAAAAAGGAAAAGAGACATCTTTATTTTGATTAATTGTTTATAAGTGTCTCAAAAAGATATTACAGAAAACGAACACTTAAATATAGGACTATAAACTGTGCTTTCGTTTTGCTTTAAAATGATTTTTTTTTTGTTGTTTCTTTATGAATTTGTGATTCTAAAATATTCATTTTTTGGAGGGATAGCCTAAACAATGTGGTGGATGTTTGTTAATACATAATTTCCGCCAACAATGAATACAGCTGTGGAAATTTAGCAAACACTATTTAACAATTCAATAAAACAGTGAAATATTGACATTTCCACAGTTAGTCACTTAAGTATCACTGAATAAAAACAAAACTATAAACTAACCACCCATCAATTTGCTTAGTAGTCAAGTTTGCTGCTGCAGGGACCACCACATCCAGCTGCAATAGTCTCACTAGAATTATCATCAAAATCTGGAGGTAGATGCAAACGCTATAAAACAAACATACAATCAAAATTTTTACATGAAAAGAAAATTTTTCAACAGTTCCTTAAAATCTGAGATTTCAAAATATTTAATTAAAATTATTTTTAAATAGAAAAACTTAAATAAATAATTAAAAAAAAAAACATTTACATTATTGAGTGTAAATAAAACCAGAAATTGTTAGTTTGATTAAGCGAAATAATACAAAGTGGAGTCAAAAAGTTCCTGGAATAGGTTAACTGCATATTATTTAAAAAAAATAGAACAATAGTTTTACTTTATTGACCTTCAAAGTAATTTATTCTGGCAGCGTTCACACTTTATCCAACGTCCGTATGACTGTTCAAAACAATCCTGGAATTTATTTTTTGAGGGGTTCTTCAGTTGCTTTGTCACATTTTTGATCACCTCATCTAAATCCACAAAACGGTGTCCTTAAAATTTCATTTTCAGCCGAGGAAACAGGTAAAAATTTGCTGGTGCAATGTCGGGAGAATAAGAGTGGTAACACCATGTCTGACTAGTTACTTTTCACAATCAGAGAGCAATGTGGTGGAGCATTGTTGTGTAAAAGAAATTAATCGTTTGTTGCCAATTTTTCAGGTAGTTTTCGTCTAGTTGCATTTTGTAGTGGTTTAAGAATCTTAAAGTAAAGTTTTTACTGACAGTTTGGGCATTCAGGAATAACTTCATAGTGAATGACACCCCTGCAATCAAAAAACACCTCGAGCATCATTTACCCTCAGTTTTTGTCCATCATTTTGTCAGTTTTTTTTAAATGTTGTGAAGTTTTGGCTTCATATGTGAAGGTTTTGTTTTCCATTCACTTGACTGGCATTTTTTAAGAGGTTCGTAAAGAAAACCTCGCGTCTCATCACCTGTTATAATTCTTGTTTAAGAAGCTGTCATCTTCATCTGCCATATCAATCAAATCCTTGCACATGTTCACTCTCACTTCTTTTTGTTCAGGTGATAATATTTTTGGAACCATGTGCAAATAAACACAAGAATGTGATGTGACCCTTGAAGAATGTGATGTGACCCATGTGAAATTTCAGAGGCAATAGCATCAATGGTTATTTGTCTGTCTGCAGGCAGGATTTCTTGAACATGTTCAGCATTTTCATCTGTTGTGGAAGAGGAAGTGAGCCCAGTCCTAGGATGTTTGTGTGACCTTCGCGAAAATGGTTATGTTACTCGCACACAGCCGTTTTTTTCCATGGCATTGGTTTCCGTATGCTTTTTCAGCATCTCGAGCATCTCAGTAGGTGCTTTTTTAAGCAAAAGTCAGAATTTGATATCTGCACACTCTTTAAAGACATTTCAAAATCCGACATATGAAAATTTGCTTTGTCATAAATGATCTGCAACTAATATTTACATTACCAGAAATGAATTTCAGATAGTTGTGTGTTTTCATTATTAGTGTTATCAACCTCTAAAAAAATATTTTCCCTCCAGTGAACACCTGTGTGAATGTAGGAGACTATTTTGAAAATTTATAAACTCTACCTCACAGTAGTATTTTATTTACTTCGTACTAGAGCTTCAGAATGGACCATTTGCAATGGTGTAGGAAACATCTCTGAGGATGATCCGAAAACATGCCCCCGCGATTTTGACCCTCTGCAGAAGATGAGGACAAACTGCACAAAATTGAGTACTTTACGGAGGAACAATATAACAAGGCCTGATACCCTGCACCCTCGGTCCCATCAGAGTGCAGTAGTCGACTGCACAGAGGTCACCTATCCACCCACTCACTGACCATAGCTACTTTGGTGATCTACAGCAAACCATGTCTTACGATCAATTTAATGTGGGACTGTTCAATATCCAAAATTTCGTTTAAATAAATTAAGTTACTCACCTCTATAATAAATTCTTTTCTTTTTGTCTTATATGCTAAGTCAGTTGTTTTCACTGGATACTGACAAGAGTTTAGAACTGGCAGTTTTGTCATGTGAATCAGTCCTTAGAAAAAAATTTAAATACATATTTAATTATACTCTAATTTCTACAAAATACAAACAAATACCATATAACTATAACATAACTAAAACAAACATCAAACATAAACAAAACAAATATGGTATAAAAAAAAGAAGAGTACAAGGCAAATGGAACAAATAGCTTTTTAACAGTAAAATAAATTTATCTGATTTTATCAACAAAAACTATGTTTAATGTTTGTCTACAAGGAATAATTTAAACAAAATATTTGATAGTAAAAAGAAAGCAAAAAGTTTATAACACACTATGTATTTATATTAGACTAAATTTTGATAGGTGTTTGAAGGGGGAGTACTGTATTTGTCTCAAGCATTTAGCTTCATAAGAGCCCTTATAATAGGTTCAGAAATGTTTTGGATTAAACTCTTAACTTGCACAAATAATTCCAAATTGACTATTTGCAATTCTTTACTAAAACAATTGATTTAGAGAAAAAATAAATTGATTTTGGCAAATGAAACAAATAATAAAGACATTTGGAAGTAAAGTAGTAAAAAATTTATTACTACCTATTTAGTTTACACTAGATAGGTATATAATTATAACATAGATAGGTATAAACCTACCTTTAATTAGCTTCCTGAAAATTACATTTTTGTTCAACTTGTATGGTTTTAGAATATAGTCTAAACTTTTTTCACTGGAATATTTATTAATAACTTACATATCTCTTCCTTTTTTCTTGATAGTTTTTTTATTGCTAAAAGATGAATTCATAAGGTAAAAAGCATAAATATTTAAAAAAAAAAAGTTAATTTTCACTTCATTTTATAGGCAACATGAATTTGATGTAAAGGAATTTTTTTTGTAAAGGCATTAAAATACCTATAAATATATAAAAATAAAAATATGACTCCCTTTTCCAATAATGAAAACTATATTTCCTGACCAAATAACTCAATTTGAAAATGATTATTCTTGGACAACTAGTGTGAGCTAAATGAAAGATCAAATTTTTTCAATGTACTTAGTTTTAATATAGCAAAATAAAAGTTTTATATGAAGCTTTATTCTCTTGAAATCGGTAAAAAAAAGTCTTTGTTTAGGACAGTCTAATTACAAATAGGAAAATTTCAAAAATCTGACTAGTACATTACAAAGTGATAGCTAACTCATAGGAAATTTTTTTAATTAATTTAAAATTGAACTTTTTTTAAATCGATGAAGTTTTTTTAAATTGTAATAGAAGCAAAAAGTAAGTTGTGTAATTTTCATGTAATATTAATAGTATAACACATAAGGTACATTTTTTAAATTCCAAATTATGAAATTAAATCCTTAAAATATTATTAATTAATAAATTATTTTCGGGTAAATTTATGAGTAAACATAGTAAAGAAAATAATTAATATTTACCAGCATATTCTTGGAAAGCAGGATGATCTGCTAACTCTGTACCTTCAAATGATTCAAAACTTATTACCATATCACAGGTTTGTCGTATTTTGCTAAGGAGAGATTTATTCTAAAAAATAATTAAACAAAAAATCTTTAAAAGTATATGTTTGGTTTCCATTTTTTATAATCACACTAGTATAAAATTGAAAAACATTAACATATCACTGAATGATTGTATTGGTAATGAAAAACTTTAAGAGATACCAGAATTTATAAGCATATTTCTTTTATGGGGAAGCTACAAATTTATTAATTGAAAAACAAGTATCAATCAGTAATTTTTTTTTTTTGGAAACGAATGGTGGATCAAGGAACATCACAAGCGGTTTCACTAATTTGGTTTTATTTAAAAATTTTAAAAAATAGATTTTTTTTCTCTTTTTTACAATAGATGAATAGTCATTTAGAAATAGAGAATATAAATTGCATTCTATCAGAGATACACAACCATTTTTGGGCAGTGTAAATTAAAAAATAAAGTGTCAGGGGCTGACATTATCATTCTGCTGCAATTATCAAAATACAGAGAATATTTAATATCTATTTTACAAATGTATAATAATTTATCTTTTGCTATAGCACAGATAATATAAATAATTAATTTAACTAAATTAAAACAAATACACTTATTAGATTACAAATCAAATTATGGTAAACATATAGGAATACAAAAAAAGGGGTAACTTGAATGTACATTTATCCGAACAGTCCTCACTTTTATGCAGATAACAAAACTAGTTACGAAAAAGTAACAGATAAATGTGATAAGTGCTGTTTGAATTTTGGAATTATAATTTTTTTATTTATCGCCTCATTTTTTTAAAAAAAATTCATTTGCACAAATTAAGTAATTATATTTTGCTTCTAACATTGAAACCATTGCATAAGCAGAATTTTTATAACAAAATTGTCATATTCTGTTAATTTGAGAAAAACTGTAAACTAGATCAGTAGCTTACTGCTATCAGGGGTCTGACCAGAGATTTTGTGAAAGGTCCTTTTGTAAATTTGCGAAAAAACTACTCATAATTTGTGAATATAAAATAAGCGTTAAGTCTCATTCTTTCAACCAGCGTCCTGCTTTTGCGAATTTGTGCAAATAGGGTCCTGTTATTGTAAAAATTGCTAAAAACCTTTTCAAGAAGTTTTTAAATTGTAAATAGACACAAGATTATGCTCAACAATTGCTGCTACTAAATTAGAGATGCAACATACAAATATTTGGTATTTAGCCTAAACTGCTCAAAGCAGAATATTAATTACGGACGAATAATAGAAACAAAATCACTCACATTTTTAATATTTTCAATTGACAAACTTTAAATAACACCACTTAGTTATGTATCTCTTTTGATGTGTTATGCATTAAGTAAACTTAAACAATTCAAAAATTTATAATATTTTATTAAAAAAATTCCCTGAAATTAATTTTTATTTACATAATATTATATTAATTTTATTAATAAATATAAATTGATCAATTATATTTATTTACAAAAAATATCAAGAATGTGCACACGATGTTTGTAACAGTAGAAATATTTTCTTACAATACTACATTTGGAATTTAAACTTAGGGAAGCTTAGTTCGTTTCGAACCTTCTTTCTTTGTTTTTACAGGAAGGGCTTATTCGATTAACAAAACAAAAAATTAAGATAAACAAATTTGTGAAGGGTCCGATTAAAAGATAAATTATTTAGTGAAGGGCCCGTTTTTATGAAAAGATATTTTGCGTTTTTATGTGAAAGATATTTCTTCTAAACAGACCCCTGAAACACAAAAATAAATTTTAGCTGAACTCTTGGAAAATAAATTGCAAATCATTTTCTATATAATGTTTACATTAATCCATAGTTATAACTTATTACAAAATAAAATAATTTATAACATTTCAGGTTAACATTCAATTATAGAAATAAGAGTTAAATTCTCACAATAGAAACTAAAAGCCACTTTAAATTAAATATTTTACTAAATTATAACTTACTTGTGTGAGATAAAAAGGAATGGTTATTAATGCTACTGCATAGGAAGTTCTTATAAGTGCTTTGAGTAGATATAAGAAANCTTAATTAACGAAAAATTACTTTTATGGGGGTCGATGGAAATTTCGAAAAATTATATAGGGGTCGGTGATGAAAAAAGTTTGGCGACCCATGCCATAGATGAATAGTCATTAAGAAATAGAGAATATAAATTGCATTATATCAGAGATACACAACCATTTTCGGGCAGTGTAAATTAAAAAGTTAAGTGTTAGGGGCTGACATTATCATACTGCTGCAATTATCAAAATACAGAGAATATTTAATATCTATTTTACAAATTTTTTAATAATTTATCTTTTGCTATAGCACAGATAATATAAATAATTAATGCAACTAAATTAAAACAAATACACTAATTAGATTACAAAGCAATTTATGGTAAACATATAGGAATACAAAAATAGGGGGCAACTTAAATGTACATTTATCCTAACAATCCTCACTTTTATGCAGATAACAAAACTAGTTACGAAAAAGTAACAGATAAATGCGATTAGTGTTGTTTCAATTTTGGAATTATAATTTTTTTTTACATATAGTGTCAATTTTTTAAAAAAAAAATTTGTTTACACAAATTAAGTAATTATATTTTGCTGCTAACATTAAAACCATTGCATAAACAGAATTTTCATAACAAAATGGTCATATTCTGCTAATTTGAGAAATACTGTGAACTAGATCAGTAGCTTACTGCTATACGGCATAGATGAAAGAAAATCCTGTAATTTTTTTTTGTCTGTTATACTTTTGTTAATATTTAAAACATTTCAGGGCTAAATTAAAAGACTTTGTGCGACACTTTTGGGTCGCGGGCCATAGGACCCCTACATTATACGGACCTAATACACAACTAATTTTTAAAATCATTTAAAACACAAAAATAATTTTTTACTGAACTCTTGGAAAGTACATTGCAAATCATTTTCTATACAATGTTTACATTAATTCATAGTTATAACTAATTGTAAAATAAAATAATTTATAACATTTCAGATCAATATTCAATTATAGAAATAAGAGTGAAATTCTCACAATAGAAACTAAAAACAGCTTTAAATTAAATATTTTACTAAATTATAACTTACTTGTGTGAGATAAAAAGGAATGGTTATTAATGCTACTGCATAGGAAGTTCTTATAAGTGCTTTGAGTAGATATAAAAAACGCAATATTTGAGTTTCTTGGCATTTTTCATCATCTTTATACCACAGAGGAGAACCAAGAGAACAAATTCCAATTTTCATCACAGTTTGGCATGTCTTTGATGGAACTTTAAGGCCACTGGTCACAATATAACTCTTAATAGTCTCTAGCAATTGCGAATATGGATTTGAAAGAAAATATGGTATTTTTTCTGATTCACAATTTTCTGTTGGATCCCAAACTGATAAGGAACATTGATGCAGCAGGTCTTCCGACATTCTTTTAGATAAATCAAAGCCTTGGTTGTGATAGCTAACCTTTAAATAAGCCTAAAAAAACATTGTTCAAAATTACAGTTTACATATGTTTATGATTTTAAAAAAATATTACTTTTTCAAGAGAACACTGTACATCTCCCTTCCCCTCCTCATGACGGCAGCTAATACTTTTTTATGGGAGATTTCTCGGCCTATAATTAGTTTGCAGATATTTTGAAAAAATTATTTCAGTATCTGAAACTTTATAATTTATTCTACTGCCCTGCGAGCTCACTTTTTTTCTTTACTATAGGTTTCAAATTATTAATGGAGTCAAATATATCAATGAAATATCAAAAATCTAGTTACATCTAGAAATCTATTTTTCATCAAAATTGATTTGGCAATTCCTCATTTTCGAGTAAACATAACTGAGCTAAATGTTTAAAATTTCCAAAAGAAAAATTTATAATTATTTTCGTCAATTGCAAATGTGTTATTGGACAAGAAAATTGAAAAGATGCAAAAACTTTTGCAAAGAATATATATATACCTTGTTTCTGCCTGTGCCTCTTTCCTTTCGAATAGAAGAGCAAGTTCTAATTCTGGAGATCATTCTTTTCAAGAGGTAGATGCAATTAGTTTCATTTGCAAAGCTTGGGGTTAATATCATTAAGGTTTTCTCTTGTGGTTGAGGAGAAGATGGAAGTATTAATTTTGTTTTTACAAATTGCTAATGAGATGGGTTTTAAAAGCAAGGTTGGGTACTACTGCTGGGAGACTTTTTCATTCCTTTATTTATTTACTTATTTTTTTTAATTTTCCTATCGTTTTTCAAATTTCACATGGATACATTTTTTTAAAATTACATGAAATTGAACCCCCATTTACCAGTTTAGCGTATTAATTATATTAAATCAGTTTATTCATTGAATCTATTTAATGAAAAGCTTTAAAATGAATATGTCATTTATTATATACTCCTGTAATCACATAATGATACCATACTATGCAACATTTTATTACATTTCCCACTTGTGCACAGTCTTGCCTATTTAAAGTTAAAAAATATACATGGAAGCTACACCTTTCAATAAAAATATTTTTTATTCATTCAAATTATGAACATGCCTTGCCTTAATTTTTTTCTTTTTCATTACAATATCAAAACATTTAAAGCTTATTTTTAAAAAAAAAAATGTATATGAAAATAATCAAATAGTTTTCTGTATCCTCTTCCCTAGTAACACATTTTTGGCTAGACAGAAAACAAAGATTAATGAAAAACAATCATAAGGGTTAGTAAGCGAAGCAAGGATGGGGTAGAGCATCGTAAATTTATACAACAAAAAAACTTTCATTTGTATGCTACAATTAATTAAATATTGTATCCTTATAAACATCCCAATTGTATCCTTTCCTAAACATATTGAAAATAGCAAATGAATTTAATATTTTATCAAGTAATTGTAATAAAATTTATAGCTAATATTTAAAAAGAGTAATTAGAATTGTTTTATGATCATTCATTCCTGATCTGTTTTGCAACCATTCTACACACAATTTTGAAAATAATGGAGTAAATAATTAATAACTTTAGTAAATATTGAATTATGTTTTATACATTCTGCATTACAAAACTAATGAAAATGGATAAATACTGCTTGAATTTTTAATTACTGATATTTTATTCAGAATTTTTGGAAATTCATTATTAATGGTTTTATACAGAAATTTGCTTTGGTTTCAATTTCTAATAATAAAATAATTTTAATTATTACTTATCGTTTTTCAATTTTTTTTAAGTTTTTGATTTGAACTAAAATCTTTTATTTTCATTCTTACCAGAAAAAACTCAAAAACTTATGCTACAAAAGACACTTTTAACTTTCATTACTTTGTATCTAAAAATATTGAAAGAATCTTATTTTCTCCCCCAGCAAATTAACAGTAAAAAATATGTTATTTATTTTTTGTTAAATTATTATATTATATCTAAAATATTTTTCAAAATGTAATTCTAAATCTATATAAATTACTATTGAGTTAAAATTATAATTTATATATTTCTGGGGATAAATGTATTTAATACTTGAATGCTTAAATTGCTAAATCGATTAGCCTTATAAATTGATAATAATATGAATAAATAATTTTGAAATAAATAATTTAATATTCAATGTTTTTTTAGTTTTAAAAATCATTTTCTTTAAAGGTGCCACCAATTATTATTTTTAAAAAAATTTGTTCGTATATTTACTGTTAGAAGCCAAAAATTACTTAGAAATTAAAACATAAAATAAATCAGATTTAATAATGAAACATTCATATATTCTAATCCATATTCATTTGATGTGTATCATTTAATTTTAAAATTTGTTTTTGCCTCATTCTGTACTTAAAAAATGCAAATTTTAAGAAGGTGCCAAAATCAAAAAACAGTCAAGCCAGAAAATGACCTTTTTTTAAAAAAGTGAGGTAAATGTGGGTGAGGTTTAGAACTAGAGGTTTTTCAAAAAGTGAGATAAAAATACATATACTAGCAACAATTGAAAGTCGCATTCAAGGAGATGGTAGTTTCATTCAAAGCAAAATCCGAAATCATAGAAAGAAAGAAAATGGGTAGTTTATGCAAAAAACAATTTCTTTTGCAAAGGTCATTGTTCAGAAAACTGGTGCTAATCTTTCCACCTTAAAATTCATGTTCCCTCCCAGAGTTCGGAATTTTTGACTCACAGATCATTCGGCCACTGAAAATACTTTGAAAAGATATTAGTGACCTCTTCACACCATTTTTTGCAAAGCTAAAACCCATGAACGCTTCAGTTTTACTTCAAGGAGAGGCCTCTTAAAATAAGGAAGAATACACACATTGAGGAATATTTATTTTATGAAAATTTACGAATTTCATTTGATCTCAAATTGGGCCTGAACTTTTACAATTACCTGCTGTTATGTAAAATTTTGATTTTCTAACAGATCAAATAAAACAAGATGGTAATTTAAGATAATTTTTAATTAAAATAAGTTTAAAATTTACATCTTGGACAGGAGGTTGGTTTTGATATTGAATTGCAATTTTCATCACTTCATCAGGAGCAAATTTTTTATCATTGCTTTGATGTTTCACTTCAATAGTTTTAGCAGCTGGTAATTCCTAAAAAGAGAAACATTTACAATCAAATGATTATAAGTCAAGAAAAATTACAACAAATATCTGATTTTTTTTTTTGTTGGAAAAAAAAACAATTGTATTAAATAAACACAGTTTTATTCAATTATGGAAAAAACTNTAGCACACCAGCAGGTTTAAGTAGACAAAATTTCCCCCAAACTTTTCACAGTATTCTACCTAAGCATTTTTAGAAGGGTGCCCCGCCCGGTGTGACCATTGATCCCTATAAATGCACCCCCAATGCCCTTTTCATCGAAATAAGTTGCCATCCCTTAAAAACACTGAATTTTTATTTTATTTTTTCAGGAAAAGGTTGCTTAACCACCTGTTTTCATGTAAAGTTCACTTCTGTTTATTTAGTAACTGACAATTATTTAACTTTAATTTCTAATGTCATTTGTTCATTTTAGTATGATTTTTCTTATGCTGTCTAGTTGAAATTCACATGATATTCTGCCCCAGAGTTATCTGTATCTTCCAGTTTTGGGCAGATATATTAGTGAATTTTTTAGTGATTTTAAATTTTACCATTTATTTGTTTTAAATAAATACCTATAAACTTTTACCTATAAATTAGCTAACTACAGATAATTTTTATACGGGATATAGCCATAAGCAATATTGCATAGATATTTGATTTATTTTTAAATTTAAAAATTTTAATTATTAGTTAAAAAAAATTAGTATTACTTCATTTTGGGTGACCATTAAAAACCTATAGCCGAAGTATGTATATAAGCATATTATGTCATTATTAACACAAAACTAGAAATATTTATATTTATTACCACAATTAGATTAGTATAGATGTAAATAGCACTATAGCAATTTCCTTACCCTGCCAAGGAAAGGAATAATTCCAAAAATATATAATAAAAGTATTAGATTAATTTAAAGAAATATAAGTTTAAGTTATAAATGATCATTATTAAATTATTTCATAACAAATAATTAAAAACAAACAAACTTGGTTATGCTGTAGTTCAATACATGCCAGTAATTTAATTTAATTGTATCAAATCAAAAGAAATAAACAGACATTTTTTTTTTTTGCAGTATTGTTTTAAATGAAAAGACTAACACAAAACACTGAAATGGGTAAAAGTTGAATAGAAACAATAGTCAGATAATTTTATTAAAAAAAATAATAATAACTGTATATAAAAAAGAGAGAAAGAAAGAAAAATAATCAGAAAAATAAAAAAAAATTGTTTATGACACATTATGAAAATGAATTTAATAGTTGTTTATTAAACTAAAAGGATCAAACAAATAGATAGATAGTAAACAAGCAATATGAAAAACTAGCAGGATACATTTTATAGAGTGATAAACTTCTTGGCTAATAGTACAATTTCTTTATTTCATTTAAATAAACACTACAAAAACTTTTTTACTTATGAATAACATAAAATATATAATTACTTTTAGTAACTTTTCTGATGTTGTTCTGCCACCACTAGATAAAAATACTTTGTGATTTTGGATGACTGCTTCTGATAAGAAGTACTTCATGATAGTTTTTGAAGCAATATCATGTTTATCCTCCTCTACAAAAATTAATTAGCCACATACTTAATAAAAATAAGATAAGATAAATATACACAAGGACATGAGAAAAACTTTTATAATTTGTCATACTATTTTTTATAGATATGGCTATTATCTTTATAACATAACTTTAAAAGCTAGCATGAATAATATCTAGCGTGATGATATGAAAACAACAATGTACCTTTATCATAGTAGCTAATGTCATAAATACTAATTTAATTAATTACAATATCATAATTTATTAATATCAATAATTTTTAGTCAAAGCTAGGTCCTAATAAAAGAAAATAACATATAACTGACCTATTAAACATATTGTACCAACTGGTAATCCTCCACCTATAAAGTTAAACAAAAATTATGTAACAATTATTGTCTAATAGTATATTTTCGTAAATATTTTAACAATACAAGAAAAAATTTATCAAAAGTTATATAAATTTTACAAAAATAGAGGCATGCACTAATATTGGGGATTCTATATCAGTACTTATTCCAAAATAGTAACAGAGTTTCGGCCAAAATTGCAGTGGCAGGTGAGAAATGGAAAGAAAAATATTCTCAGAAAATAAGCAGCAGCTGATTTCAATTTTGCCTAATAGAGTAATCTTGATTTGATATGGAAATTTACAAAGAGAAAAGAGTCATTAGTTTTTTTTTATCATATCTAATATCATGTTATTCATGCACATATAATCATTCAAATTAAAGATAAATACAAGTTAATCTTTTTTAACATGCCTTTAATAAATTTTGCAGATACTGTGATAATAGGTTTTTGCAGCTACCAAAACAGAGTAGTACCAAAATAGTTACCTGATTTTTAAGTAGTCACATATTATAATTAAAGTTTCACAAGAATTTGCTGCTTGATAAGATTTTTATTTTTGATCAGTAATATGTTTTTAAACTATTTCCTTACAGTAACAATTTTACATCAATTATTGATCTACAACACCCAATAATTTTATTTCAAATTTTTAATATAAACTGAGGATTAATACCCATAATGGTGTACAGTGAGAAAGTTAACCACTTCCTAGTAAAGATCATAATGAAGACCTCCTTTCCCCTTCTTTTCTGTACATTTTGATAATTAATTTAATTAAACATAGTAGGGTCAGGTGGGGTAAAATGGGTCACTTTTTAGCTATTTTTGCATTCTAAGTCTTGTAGCAATAAAATCATAAAACTTCCCTGTTTTTTTTTTTTAATAGCAACTTGACATTACATTCCACAGTGTTTTCACTACAGCGCGAGAATCTCGCATATTTTTTTCTTTTCTCGCATTAAAAAATGATTACCGCGAGAAATTCGCGCATTCTATAAATCAATTTCAAAATGCGCGAATTTCTCGCATTTTGGAAAAAAATCATAAAACTTCCCTGTTTTTTTTTTTTTTAATAGCAATTAGAATTTTTTAATAGATTCGAATTACGCCAATTAGAATAAAATCCATTTCACTTTTCTTCCTGGATCTTTCATTATTTTCAACATTTGTCCCGTTATCTGTAGCTTCCCTATTTACCAGTATTGTTCAGAACTTTTTCGAACAACAGAACACAACCCCTCCGAACCACGGAACCCCTTTCAGAACACATTTCTCTGCAACCACGTGTTTACCGCAGGTAAGGTTTTTTTCATGTAAGACGTTCAAATTTTTTATGCACTAATGTAAGATGGACAAATACCTAGTAAGGCAAAATCTTCTATGATGATGCAGCAAGAATATTCAATGCTTTAAAAAATAGAAGACGTTAAAAATGTATTATAATAAAAGAAAAAATTTTTTTCAAGTCTTTTTGTATTTTTTCAGTTTTTAGAAATCTTACTTAACTTTCTGAAATCTCACCCTGTTTTTGAGAAAGGGTGAGAAATTCTCACCCATTTTTTTTCTATGATGAAAACACTGATTCCATCAGGTCATTTTTATGTAATTTTAACATTTATTTTTTAATTATAAGTTAATTAAACTTGGCTTGAAAAGGGTTGACACATTTTACTCCATTTTGGGGTAAAATGGGTCACCCATGGGGTAAAATGGGTCATAATGCAAAATGATTTTTAAAGAATATATTTATTAGTAAATACATTAAAGCAAAAATGTAATCTATCACATATGATGTTAAACAATATAATATTCATATTTTAAAGTAGTATTGTTCACGGTTATTACGAAGTGGTTCTTCTAAAACTTTTACAACATTGTTTTTTTCTACTATGACAATGTCCTCTTTTTCAGGAAAAACATAATAATTCCCTATTCTGGATTTGGTTACATAGCTATTTAGTAACTTCAGAAGATTTAGAGAGTATAAATAATGTTATTTGCTCATGTTAAAAATTTTTAACACCTAATTAATATAATATGATATTGCGGAGATTTCAAAATTTTAATTAAGATTAAATTTTTTGTTAATTATTACTGTATCAATGTATAATTGCATTAATTTCTTAATCAGAAAATAATCACTTTTTATGCGTTATACGTCTAATTGGCTGATTTGCATTATTTTAAATCAAACCCACTTTTCGTAAAAAAGGAACCAGAATTTCCCAAGTCTAGCGAAATCAGTGATTTTTAAGGAAATAAGATTTTAATTCATTTATGAAAATTACACCCATTAAATTGAAAACTATCTTGGTACAAAAGTAAAATTGCTACATAAATTACCTATAAAGAAATCTAATGTAGAAAGACCTGTAGATGTAAGAAGTTGTGCATTGTGAGTTGAAACTCTAGTGCCTGGAATGCTCCTAATATCAGCACCTTTCTTTCGAAAACTTGTAAAAGCTCGAGGAGCAGAAATACTCATGACTCAGTTGGTTTAATTAAAAAATAAATTATGATAAATCTTGAACTGAAAATTTTAGATTTTAAATGTTTTATCGCAGCCCATGCTTCGCTTTATTTATTTATATATTGTAGATTTCGACTACCTAACTCTGTACTCCTAAACATCAGTGTAATTTCCAAAATAAGCTTTAGAAGCATAAAAATAGACCGCCGGAAACGTTACAATAAACAAATAAACATGTAACCATGGATTTGCTTGACAGGATAGTTGATTATATTTATCTTTTTACTGACTTATTATTTGTTATCTATATTTAAAGTTGTTTTTGATTTGATAACTTAGATTTTAACTCTTTATATGTATTCATATAAGTTATCTTTCAGAGGGAGTAGATTTTGACTAAAATTTTTTTCTAGGATATCTTTATTCGATGAAAATAAAAATGAATAGACTTTTACTCTGTTTTACTCTTATAACATTTTACGTTTTCACGGTATGTATCTTGGCAGGTTTTATAGCTATTGTGTGTAAGGAATTTATCAATTTCGAAAAACATTAAATAATTATAATGTTAAACTTTTCTTATGGCTTATGCAAATATTTTTACAGGTCTATGCGATACAATACTTCGAATTTATCAAATTTTTTAGTATTTATTTATAACTTTGCGTGTTTCATATTGAACAAAATTCATGTTTCATCTTCTTTCGTGTTTGTTGTTGTTGTTTAGCAACGCTAAATTAGGTCTAGGAAATCTGTCACTCTAAGAAAATCTAGTATTTACTAGAATGTCAGTAACATAATCATAAATGTTGAAAAGCTGGCAGATTCTGTTCTCAAAAAGAAATTACTGGAGCACCAAACGATAGAAGTCTGACTTGGTTCCGTCACCTCAAGCATTAGCTGGGAAATATCTGATATGCACTAATAGATCCACAAAATTTAAAAAAAAAAAAAGTAGTCTTCTGAAGATGTTAAGAAAAATTTTTTCTTCCGACTAAACTTGACTGTCGAAGGAATGGATTCTGGAAAAAAATTCTAAATATGATTTTAATCTCTTTTATTAATCACAATTTGACAGTGGCATTTTAATTTTTCTAATATTTTTTTTTTTTTTTTGATAAAATTATGCCAATATGATTTTGAAGTCAGTATTTTGCAGAAGGTAGTCTAGTATTACCAATAAATTAGCCTGTTTTAAAATTTTAATAAATATATTTGTTTATTTATAATTTATGTTAATAATTTTTAGCATCATTCAAAATGGTTTTTATCAATTAAGACTGTAATGAAACGAAATTTTAAAATCTAAAGGAAGAGAAATGTGTAGTTTTAAATTATTTTCTGAAAATCAAAAATTGCATAATTTATTACTTTACATTTTTGAAAAATAAACTTCATGGAAGTTCTAAAAATTATATAGCACAATATCTCCTAATCTTATTTAAAAAACTGCCCTTTTATTTTCTGTTTATTTTAAAAAGCATAGTTTTGTAAAGACACTCTGTTGTAAAGAACTTATTAATTACAAAAAGAAAAATAAAACGAATTAAAAAAAATGCAAATCAAAAATTTACCCTGAAATCCAAGATGGTTATAGGAAAAGTCTATATTTGGGAGAAAAAAAACATACAAAAAAATTCAATAAATATATAAGACAAACTAATTCATTTTAAGTTTTGTTCTAGCAATATTCTCTTTATTCTGTGTGCTAGTATTATGATGTCTTAAGAATTAATATTTCACTCACAATTTTGTTTCTTAATTTGATAATCAACTATTATTCAATTTATGTGTGTTTACTTTTTTTTAATTCAAACATAATCAAAAATATATATCTTTTATTTAAGTGCATTGAACCTTTTTATACATATTCTATAACCTTATGTGAATTTATTGCATATAGTATATTTTATTGTTAAAATTAAACTATGATATTTTTTAAAATATATTTCCGTGCATACCAGGCAAATAATTACAGACTTTCCACGGCGCCAAGAAAACCTGGAATCGTCAGAGAATTTGGTATAAAAAGTCGGAATAATTTAATTTTATACCAAAATGAGAAAAATCTTGCAACAAATCTGGAATACGACCAATTTCATTATTGACTGTAAATTTACGCAGCTAATGCTGTTCAAAGTGCTTAAGTCTAACATCTATTTTTATTATTCCTTGTAAAAATTCTGCTGATTGTTAATTTTTTTTCTCTCTTTTTTTTAGAATTATTGTAACTCCTTAATAATTTCAATTAAAAGATATTTTCTTCTTTACAATTTATCTTTATTGAAAAATACTCTTTACATAAAAGATTCATATTTCAATTTTTTTTTATATGTAGCCATATTTGTAGTTTNTCTTCTTATAAATAGTATAAAAAATAGCTAATAAATAGTCAATTGTCTTTTCTTATATAACAGTTCATATTTATTAAGTGGAACAACTATAAAATATATTTTAACTATAATCACAAAATTTGTTTTTAACTGTATACAAGAAAAATGTGTTCTGATATGCACCATTTCTAGCTTGTCTTACCTTGCTTCTGTCTTAAATTTATGTGTGTACATTGTTAGAATAATTTTTAAGTTGATAAATTAACCTAATATAAATATGGTGAGAAATTATAAGCTTAAAAAGGATACTAAGCTTCTAGAAAGCAAAAATAGTGAATTTCTTTTAATGATTGAAAATGAAAATTTCAGTGTGAGAGCTGCTGCCAGAGCTGAAGTGTTAATCTTTATTCCTGATTTTAAATAAACAGTTTTATTAGCTGCTTAAACATAACTTTTTGGTTTATTTGTTTGATCTTAATGTCCTATTTGTTAATTACCATTGTATAGTTGTTTTTAAACAGCCCATTTACTATAAAAACTGGTGATCAGTAATTACCCCAGAAATGATCAGAATTTACCCCAGAATTGATCAAGAGACCTGATCACTAAAAATTTAAAATCCTTTAAATTCTAATTAGATTTTCAAACAAAAGAAGGTAGCATAGGACTCATCTCATATAGCCTCAAACTTCCAGAAAATATTAAAATTCTATCTTGAATAGTTTTTTCGCAAAATAGGTGTTTGCATTTTTTGATCAGGAATTACCCCAGGTCACCCTACATAAAAGATTCATATTTCAAAAATTTTTATTATATCTAGCCATATTTGTAGATTAATAATGCTAGGTTTTTAAAAGTTAACCTTTGTATGTAAATTTTGGTTTTTAATCACAAATTATATATAAGATGGTTCAATATATTACTGATGTGACTCTTAATAAAATGTGTTTCATAGAAATTTTAAATTTTCCAACTTATGTGCAAAATATTGTTTTTATCTATAATTTGCATACTTGAGTATTATTAAACCTACATGGTAAGCCTTTGACTAGTAAAATTTTGTCTCTTTCTAAATGTTATATTTAGCATATTTTCTGTGAAAATGCAAGTTTCATAGTTTATAGAAATTGGAAATTTTCTTGGAAAACCTGGAAAAGTCAAGGAGTTTTATTTCTGAAATTGATTTCTTGAATTATCAATACTACCTATATATTAAATTTATTTAAAATACCTTATATTTTGTTTGTAAATTTTTCCTCCAGGTCAGTGCACAACAAACCTTTTCAGTTGATTATGAAAACAATTGTTTTTTGAAAGATGGAAAACCATTTAGATATGTCTCTGGTTCCATTCACTATTTCCGTGTTCCATCCGACTTTTGGTATGATAGGATTTATAAAATGAAAATGGCTGGACTGAATGCAATTCAAACGTAGGTTATTATACATCAATTTCATTTATAAATAACCTCATTGTAACTCCGAACAATTTTAAATTTATGAATAATTTTATAATTTTTTTTAATTAGTTTTTTCATTAAATTGTTTTACAGTTTATGATGTAATTGTTTTCACATTCTAACTCTCAACTGATAATTTAAAATAACATAATTTATTTCTACTAAACTTATTACACCCTTGATTTAAATAATTACATTCTTATTATACTTTGCTAAAAGTTATTTTAGAAACTCATTTAAACTGATATTTCAGATACTCATTTAAAAATTCCGAGAGGGAAATTTAACCTAGCAGTTGTTTTTGTTTATTTTTTATCGTTTAAATTAAGAGTTGAATAAACTCGCTCTTTGTTAAATTCTATGCATTATGATATGCCCTGTGGCAGAATCGTGGCAACACTGTTGCAGAATGTTACTGAGTTCTTGCAGCAGAATTTTTTCTTTGGGAAATGAAAAATTTTGCTTTTCTTTTCTGCAGAAATTTTCAAAAGATTTTATCTTTCTTTCAGAATTATATTCAAAAGATGCCTTCCTCACACTTCGGAGTGGGGAAAAAAGTGCTTGTGACTTTACTATTCTCATTGGGGAATAATAAAAAATAATGAATAATGAAGTAAAAAATTTTGTTTTCTTTTCTGTGGAAGTTTATGTTCCAATTTTTCATGCAGTTATTACTACTGATTTCCACATAGCTTTTAAAATCCGATATTATTTATCACAACAACTAAATCTCGAAATGAAAACATGCATTTAGTAACCCCTTTTTGAAGAGTCCGATTCCCGTGATTTTGTTGTTTATCTTTTTTATCAGCAGTTACTGCTACAGATTTTACGATATTATTTTTTTAATGTGATGATGAATTATAAAATGCAAAAAAGGAAATAATTAGTGTGTTATCTTTCTACAAAATGCGAGAATATCGCCCATTATATTAGAATAAAAAAATCAAATATTCAATTTTAAAAAAAATTTTATTTGATCCAATTTTCATTTATTTATTTCATTAATTTAATTTTTTTCAAAGTTACAGTTATAATTTTTTTTGAAGTTTGTATATTTTTTATTGTTAAATATTTTGCAGAAAGATATTAGCATTAAAGAGGTATATCATAGAAAGCCTGAAAAAATTCTGCCACAGGGATGTTATGTATCATTTAGACTTATTTAATGTGTTTTTGATTTATTTAATGTGTGACATTTATTTAATGTGTGCTTGCTATTCTATGCATGGAGTATTTCAGATGAGAATATCTTTCTCATTTTTATTTTTAGAATGAAGAAAACAATAATAGTGATAAAAAAAATTTCATCAGAGACTTTAGATATCTGAGATTATTAAAGAACAAGAATAAAT